CATCAGTGCCATATTTGAGGTAAAATAACCTCTCTACTTCTGCTCAAGATTCCCCTGTTCATGCAGCTGAGGATCGCATTAATTCTTTTGGCCACAGTATCTCATTGGAAGCTCATGTTATGGTGATTATCCACCAGGATCCCCAGTTCTTTTTCAGAGTTGCTGCTTCCCAGGATAGAATCCCCCTCCTGTAAGTATGGCCTACATTCTTTGTTCCTAGTTGTATACATTTATATTTAGCTGTATTAAAATGCACATTGTTTGCTTGCACCCAGTTTACCAAGGTATCCAGATCACTCTGTATCAGTGACCTGTCCTCTTCATTATTTATCACTCCTCTAATTTTTGTGTCATCTACAAACTTTATCAGTGGTGATTTTATTTTCTTCCAGATCACTGATAAAAGTGTTAAATAGCATAGGGCTAAAAAACAATCCCTGCAGGACCCCATGAGAAATACACCTACTTGTGACCTATCAGCTAGCCAGCTTTTAATCCATTTAATGTGTGCCATGTTAATTTTATGTCATTCTAGTTTCTTAATCAAAATGTCATGTAATACCAAGACAAATGCATTACAGAATTCTAAGTACATGACTTCAACACACCTTTTATCAACCAAACTCGTAGTATCATAAAAAAAAATACCACGTTAGTTTGACAGGATCTATTTTCCATAAATCCATGTTGATTTACATTGATTACCCTTCTTTAGTTCTTTATTAATCAAGACCCATATCAGCTGATCCATTATCTTGCCCTGGAGCAATGTCAGGCTGAGAGGTCTATAATTACATGGGTAATCCTGTTTACTATTTTAAAATATTGGAGCAACATTCGCTTTCTTCCAGTATTCTGGAACTTCTTCAGTGTTCCAATACTTATTGAAAATCAACATTAACGGTCCAGTGAGCTCCTCAGCCAGTTCTTTTAAAACTCTCGGATACAAGTTATGTGGGTCTGCTGATTTAAGTGTCCCACTTCAGTAGCTGCTGTTTAACATCCTTGTGAGATACTAGTGGAATGGAAAGAATGTTATCATATGATATAACTACCTCATCTTTTTTTCCCCTATATACAGAACAAAAATATATATTGAACATCTCCTGCCTTTTTTGCATTACTACTGATAAATCTACCATTTTCATTTAGTAATGGGCCAATACTATTGTTAGGATTCTTGTTGTTGCTAATACACTTTAAAAAACTCCATATTATCCTTAACTCTTCCGGTCATAGATATCTTCTTGTATCCCTTTGCTTTCCTTATCAATATTATACCATTCCTAGCTTCTGATTTATATTAACTACTATCAACTTCTCCTTTTTTCCATTTTTATATAATATATATGTGTGTGTGTGCCTTCACTTCCTCTACCAGGTAGATTAAAAACAAAAACTAATATGGTATTCTTCCTCAGTTGTGAGATTTTGGGCATTTAGTATGGTGTTCTAAATGATTTCCAATTATCATTCACATTTCTCTGATTAAATTCCTCCTCCCACCTGACGTGGCTATAAGTGTGTTAAATTTTGTGAAATTGGCCCTTTTAAAGTACCATGTGTATATATATTACTGGTCTGGACTTTACATATTTAGTGTGCAAACAGAATAATCAAGTCATGATCACTTGTATCTTAGCTACCATTAATTTTTAGTTCTGTGACCAGCTCCTTTTTCTATGTTAAGATGAGGTCTTATATAGAGTTTTCCCCCATGTTGGATGCAACACTTCTTGAATTAGGAAATTGTCATCTATACTATTTAGAAATCCAAGGATATCTTATTGCTGGCAGCATGAGACATCCAGAATATGTCACTCATATTGAAGTCCTCCATGATCATGTAGCATTTCCCCCTATATATTATAGGTAAGTGTGTAAGGAGCTGGTCATCCTGTTCCCTAGTGTGTTTTGCTGGTCTGTAGTAGACACCAACTAATACCCAATCTTGTGCTTTATCTGTTAGGACATTGATCCATAAATATTCAGGATCATTTTATTCTAAGTTGTCAGTGATTCAGAAACAGGTAATGTTATTTTTGACATAGAGTGCCACTCCCTCTCCCCTTTTGCCCACTTTATCCTTTTTAAATAGGGTGTAACCATTGATTTTAACATTCTAATTGCCACCAGGTTTCAGTAATAACAACTAGACTGAATTTATGCTTAAAAAATGAGCAATTCCTTTTATTACCAGGATCCTAGCATTGGTGTTTAGGCAATTAAAGAATTTATTCTCTTTGTCCTTTGGTTCCTTTAATTTTCTTCTCAACAGCTCAATCTGTTCTATATGAGTGCTCATACCTTCCCTCTTTTTACCCTCTTTAAATCTTGCCCTATTTCTAGGAGGAATAAAATTAGTTTTTAAAAAACCTCAGCAATATTAGACTCAAACCTCAAAGGCTTCACACTGTCCCAACCTATGGAGGCCCCATGATTTCCTGTGGCACTCCAGTCTCCTCTCCCCCCCACTCCCTTTATCTCCAAAAAGATCCTTAAGAGGACAGCACATGCAAACCTCCTCCAACCCTCCCTCCATCATTTTCTCATCTGATGTCTTCTGGAGGAAAACATAGTGGTCTGCTAATGCCTCAAGTATCTTCATGGGGAGGACTGCACAACGACAACCCCATGTGATTCCCTCCCATCCAGACTAACACAATTTCCTCCCACAGCATCCTTTCCCATCCAGTCTCCACACTTCAGTAGCACCCTTCCACCTAGGTCCTGTCCTCCTTAAGCACCTTTCTCTGCTTACACTTGGTATCTTACATGAGGGAGGGTCAAGGGACTGTTTTTAATTCCTAGAGGAGCAGTGTTAACCCTCCCCCATAGAGTAGAATACAATCCCTAGCCCACAACAATACATATAACATGTACCGATAACATTCATAAAGCTAATGTGTTGTACTTAAAGTACTGCACAGGATCTTTTCAGGGGAAAAAGGCAAAATGCCACATTTATTAATACATGTATTAATTAACATTGTATCATATGCATAGGAGATATATATATATAGTACACTCACACACACACAAGCACACTCCGTCTTGTTGTTACCAGTTAGTTGCTCCCCTTAACTACACTGGCCAGGTGAGTTAGATGGGGGAGGGGTGGAGCCGGACTTCTGCCGGTCCGGATCGATGCTCCCATGTTGACAAGATGAGACCTGGGGTCCTCTGCAAGACACCTCACTTTTATAGCATCTTCCCTCTCATTCAAAATATGTGTCTGTGTCCATTGGTCCTTTGTGCTTCCTTCTTCTGGGTGTTGTCCCAATGCTGCAAAGAGGGTGTTTCCAGAAGAAGGTGCTTGCTTCTAACCCCCGAGGCTGTCAATATGTCTGCTTGTCTGGCTCCCAGCCCCTCTCCAAGGGTTGAGACTGTCTGGAGGTGCTGCCTTCCATGCCTTTCTCATTCACACCTCCTTCATTCAACAGGACAATTGATTAAGAGTGGTCGGGGGGAGGATCTTGTTCTACTGCTAGCAAAAAGACATTTTCCTTCTATCTTATTCTATCCTTAGAGGCTATAACATTATACCAAGAGCAATGCAAAGTTTCTACATGAGACTTTGATACAAAGTTTCCATATACCAAGGCTCATCAATACACGATTTCTATATGAGGCTTTGATACAAAGTTTCATGAAAACAGAGGTCACACGTGGGTAGACCCACTACAAGGTTATATGAAGAGGCACAATGTAAAGTCATATGAAAATTATCAGAGATTTATCTACAAACGTAGTAATCCCCAGATATACTGCCTGCAATTGCAGTACTGAGGCCACAGGATCTCTCTCCACAAAGACAACAGTGGAGAGTTGCAGAAAACAAGGGGTGTCCAGCTGCTTGGGGGAGGTGGGGCTTTGGTGGATAAGGGAGAAAGTACTGTGAGCCACTGTGTCCTCATTATAGTTTATCCCAGGAATAAAAAACTGGCCCTTTGAGATATTGGTTCTACACTGAACACAACTGAAGTTCTAGATCTCAAATCCAACCATTTGTAATTCAGTTTTCAAAATTTGGATTTGGCGTTTGTCTTTTTTCATTCTAACTAAATTTTAGAAAAATTGCTTTATGATTAGAAATATGGAGTCTTGAATAAGTGAATACATAGTTTTATTTTAAATCACAACTGTGTATTAAAGAATCACTGCTTTTTAGCTGTTGTTTCACTGCTCGACCTCTCTGTGGCATTAGCATCTTGACCATTCCCCTGAGATAGTTTTATTGACCATAAATTTTGCTCCTGGGTTAACTGTCATTTTTCAATAGTGTTTTCAGGAACCATATTTTCTGAGTACATTTCATAACTTCTGCATCAGTTTTATGCTAGTTTTAAAATGTCAAATACAATTCAATATTAAGTGCTAATTTAAAGAAGGCTTTTTAAACTGCTGTGTAAACCTATAATACAACCTACTAGCTCTCTGCATATGGGATGAATAATTCCTAACATTACATTCTGCATATTTTTTCATGTAGTATTTTGAGAGAGTACAATTAAGAATGATATAAAAAAAGCTGATTAATAGTTCTTGACTCTGTGTTTAATTTGATATGGAAGAGCTTTCTTTAAGACAGTACACAGTTGTTCCGATTTGCCATCACTGGATTTATTTTGGAATTTGCCTTGTGTTGCCCAAGCAAATGGATGTTGATCCAGAGAGTAAAATACAAAGGTTCCACATACAGTGGAAAGAAGATCAGCAGTCACAATATTTGCTTTCTTTTGCAAGCACTAGCAAAAGCAACATTGGAGGTTGTAAGATGAGGGCAAGTCAACAATAAAGACTGGGCAGTTTATTCTTTTTTTAATGTATCCTTTTTCCCCCCAGCAAATAGAAATGGTAGAAAAAACATCTTACCATTTTTTTTTATAACCCTTGTTTTTATTACTCTGTTTTCTGGGGGTGGGGCGGATTCATTTCCAGCTGATAAGCTATTTACCAAATTATTATTTCCATCTGAATTTTTCCTTGTTGATTCCTAGGTGTGTGTCTGCTATCTTGTGCACCAATGAGCCTGGAATTCAATCTGCTGGAATAAGACAATGGCCTCTACGTCCAGTTGAAATAAAGGGGTGAGCAGCTTCCTTGCAGCTGGTACCATGTTAACTCCTCCTTTAACAGGCAGTGTGCAGATGGAGGCAAATTTCATTATATTTTCTTCGCTAGCCTGCCTAGGGCAGGAGAAATATTTTTTTTTTTTTTTCCTTTACTTTGCTGTGTATGAACACAAAAACATGGATGGTTGTATAGAAAGTATTGGTACTACTGGTACTGCTACTAGTCATACTGGATCAGGTCAGTGGCCCACATGCTTCAGAGGAAGTTGTAGTTTAATAAACAAAAAATCCTATAAGGAATAATTATGCACTAATAATTCCATAGAAGTTTCTTCTTGACCCTGGACAATTAATGGTTGGTTTATACCCTGAAAAATGAGGTTTTATATCTCTTATAACTATCTGCCGTATTTAGTCTTACTGCAGATGACATTGTTTATATCTGTTTCTTTATTGAATCCTACAAAGCTCTCTTTTAGCCATATCTTGCACCAATGAATCCCACAAGGTAGTTATGCCTTGAGTTAATATCATTGGGTGTCCACTTTCTTAGTTCATTATGAGAGTAAATAGGAGAACATGGTTGACCTGTATATCATTAAGCATTTTATATACCTGATTCAGCTCACCTGTTGACCTCCTGTCTAAACTACATAGACGTTCTTGTTCACACAAGGAAGTCTTTCCATGCCTCTAATCATCATTGTTGCTCTTCTTGAACCTTCTCTATTTCTACTCTATCCTTTTTTAATTGAATTATATTTTTGCTGACTAGAATTGAGTGCAATATTACAAATGAGGATGTACAGCCAATTTATATAAAGACATTATGTTTTTTCTTATATTATTCCTTTCTTAATAAAACCTAACATAATTTTTTTTTTTTTACCACCACTGCATAATGAACAGATATGTTTCTTTAGTTATACACAATACACAATATAGGAAACTCAGTCTTTCCTCATAGACATAGAGTATAGACTTTAAGGTCAGAAGGGACCATTATGATCGTCTAGTCTGACCTCCTGCACAACGCAGGCCACAGAATCTCACCCACCCACTCCTGTAATAAACCCCTAACCTCTGTCTGAGCTACTGAAGTCCTCAAATCATGGTTTAAAGTCTTCTAGGTGCAGAGAATCCTCCAGCAAGTGACCTGTGCCCCACGCTACAGAGGAAGGCGAAAAAACCCCAGGGCCTCTGCCAGTCTGCCCTGGAGGAAAATTCCTTCCTGACCCCAAGTATGGTGATCAGCTAAACCCTGAGCATGTGGGCAAGACTCACCAGCCAGACACCCAGGGAAGAATTCTCTGTAGTAACTCAGATCCCACCCTATCTAACATCCCATCCTAGGCCATTGGGCATATTTACCGCTAATAGTCAAAGATAATTAATTGCCCAAATTAGGCTATCCCATCATACCATCCCCTCCATAAACTTATTAAGCTTAGTCTTGAAGCCAGATATGTCTTTTGCCCCCACTGCTCCCCTTGGAAGGCTGTTCCAGAACTTCACTCCTCTGATGGTTAGAAACTTTGTTCTAATTTCAAGTCTGAACTTCCTGATGGCCAGTTTACATCCATTTGTTCTTGTGTCCACATTGGTACTGAGCTTAAATCATTCCTCTCCCTCCCTGGTATTTATACCTCTGATGTATTTATAGAGAGCAATCATATCTCCCCTCAGCCTTCCTTTGGTTAGGCTAAACAAGCCACGTTCTTTGAGTCTCCTTTCATAAAACAGATTTTCCATTCCTCGGATCATCCTAGTCGCCCTTCTCTGTACCTTTCCCAGTTTGAATTCATCCTTCTTAAACATGGGAGGCCAGAACTGCACACAGTATTCCAGATGAGGTCTCACCAGTGCCTTGTATAACGGTGGCTTCAGTTAATTTAGAGCCAATCAGTGTGCATGATTAGCTCAAATTGTTCTTTTCAGTTTGCATTACCTTGGAGTTGTCTTTGCTGAATTTAATCTGTCATTGTCTTGTCCAGTATCCTCATCATCCACCGAAATCCACAGAAGGAGGCTATAGGGGAGGATAGCTCTGATAGGATTCCTTTTAGAGGTCCTCCTCAAATGTTCCATTTAGAGGAGATGGTGTTGGAGCCCTTCTCAGTGGAATGGGCTACAGATCTGCTTCCAAATATCTCTTCCTCCTCCCCTTCCACATAGGTGGGGGAGATGCAAATGTGGGGAGTCCTCTCTGTGTCAGAAACAGGCATGATGGGGTCATCCAGGTTATTGTTAGGACCTTGTTAAGTTCCTCATGTTCTTCTGTAGTGTTGACTAATTTACATAATTTATCTGCAGATTTTGCCACCATACTGTTCACACTCATTTTCAGGTCCTTTAATAATGGTATGAAATTACATTAGTCTGAAAAAGATTCCTTTGGACAGACTCCCTATTAACCTCTTTACACATTGAAAATTAATGATTTATTCCTATTTTCTGTTTTCTCTCTCGACTAGTTTCTTACTAAGAACAGATCATCATCTCTCATTCTGTGACTACATAGTTTCCATAGTAGCCTTCTGTGAGGGACTTAATATGAACTTTCAAAAGAATTTTACCAAATTATATCTTCTGGTTCTCCTTTATCCATTTAATTTGACTTATTTCAATAATTATAGGAGATCAGAGAGGCACAATGTAAATTTATAGAGCCATGTTGGTTTGTCTCTGAAATCACCATAAGACATGAAATGTGAGTAGCCTATAACAGTAGGGAAAATGTACAGTTCTTATCCTCACTGCATTTACAAGTGAAGACATCTACATGGTTTCCCCAAGCATAAACTATCAGATAAAACAGAAAGAGACACACCTGAAGATATGATGAAACTCTAAGAAAGCTGCTACTTTAGAATGTGGCCCTTCAGAATCATACAAATTTTAGTGAAACCTCCACTTTAACTGGTAAGATGAACACTGGTCATTACAAGACTGCTTAGTCCTTACAATCATGTGTCTCAGTACAGTAACAAAATATTTGCTTATAGCGCGGGACCGCACATGGATCCCAAATTTAATTACCTTAATTGGAATCCCTGCTATAACGCGGTCCCCGCGTTAATGCGGGACCGCGCATGGATCCAACACCCCGTGTTCTGGCGAGGGTCCAGTGTACAAGTTTGATTGCTAAATGCATTTGTTCCTTCTATTCCCACCTTCCCCTTTTTTATAACTTCTGTAGTGGAGAAGTCTGTAATATTTTGCCATTCCAAAAAACAGATACTGAATCTATAATTTTATGGAGATGGAGTAGCAGTTAACCTTCAAGCTAAATATTGTCCTCTAGTAAATATATGGGACAGTGGAATTTGAATAGTAAACCCAAGACAAATGTAGCAAGAATTCTGAAATGTTCCTCATTCTTTCCATTCCATAATAAAATACTGGAATGACACTAACCTAGTAGTCCTTACTTAATAAATTTAGTTTAGAAAATATAAACCTCCAAGTATCTAAGGATTTGAAAAAACTTGTTGATCTAATTCCCAAGAAAATAAATGGAAATTTGGCTTATGAAACCCTCATTTAAATACTTCATAATTTCATTATACTTTTTTATTTTATTTTTTATTGACCTTTCCTAACGTGTTATTTATAAAGTAGTATAAAATGTGAACCTTTTTATTACTCCTTGTTACATTAAAGGGTCGTGCCACACACAATATTTAGCACCACATTTAAGAAATTAAATAGCAAAAATCTATATTAAAATTAAAGTTGTTTCTTCGTGCTGTAAAACAGGTTCTAGCTGATACCTGCGGACTGGCTCATACTGTAGCTATCAAATTTGCTAGGGTAGTGAGCAAAACTCTCTCGATTCCAATTGAAGTCAAGAACTCCTTGTTCCTACATTCATCTATCAATGAAGATGGCCTTTCTTGTAGCCATCACATCCGCTTGTAGCATGGAGAAAATGGGAACCCTTCTGGCGTACCCATCCTACGCAGTCTTCTTCAAAGATAATGTCACATTAAGACCCCACCCAAGGTGCCATCTTCCTTCCATCTGAACCAACCTATCCACCTTCCACCTTTCTTCTCTAAGCCACAAGGAAATAAACAAGAGGCCCTTTTGCACATGCTGGATGTTCGTAGGGCATTGGCCTTCTATTGTAGCTTTCCTGAACAATGTACCAATACCAGAGATTTGTAGAGCAGCATCCTGGCCATCCGTGCACTACGCAATTGAGCAGGACTCTGCATCAGAGGCTCTGTTAAGGTTGACTGACTGTCCTATCATCAGTAACAAAGCCAAATCTGAAGCCCCAGCCTTCCAACCAGGGGGACTGCTCTATAGTCACCTAAGGGGGAGCATCTATAGGGACACTCCTCAAAGAAGAAGAGAAGGTTACTCACCCTGTGCAATAACTGAGGTTCTTTGAGATGTGTGTCCCTATGGGTTCTCCACTACCCACCCTACACCTCGTTGCTTTGGAGTTCAAACATGGACTCTGCAGTAGAGAAGAACTGATAGCATTTGGACTGCACAGTGCTATATAGCCACCATTCAGGGTGTGGGATGGGGTGCATATGTGGTCCAATGGGCACTGCTACCGAAAATTTCCGATCCTAGGCGTAGGGACGCAGACGCATCTAAGGTGGAGCACCCATAGGGGGACACATCTCAAAGAACCTCAGTTACTGCACGGCGTGAGTAACCTTCTTTTCTTTGAGTAGTGTCCCTATAGGTGTTCCACCTTAGGTGGACTGGAGAGCAGTGCCTCCTTCCGTATGTTAGCTAGAAATATGAGGCCGGACTGAGTTGGAAGGTCACCAAAACGGCATTATGAGGTCACCAAAACGGCATTATGGCTCAATTTTCCCATCTGTAAAATGGAGATACTTTCTTCTTCGAGTGCTGTCCCTGTGGATGCTCCACTTCAGGTGTCAGTGCATCCCGGTGCTGTTGATCAGACATTTTGAGGAGAAGTGTCCATTTGGGACACACATGTGCAGTAGTCATCTTGTGGCACTGTTGGCGCCTCATCTAGTGTGCACACGACCTGACCCCCCTCAGTTCCTTCTCCACCATCCTTGGCCTGAGACAGAGCTCCGTTGCAGTGTCCCAGCATCTCTCACAAACCTAGAGAAACATAATTAGAAATAGTTTTAGTTTTTTCCTAGTATAGTTAGTGTTTGGTTAGTCTTAGTCGGTTACTAAAAAAATCTCTGCAACTGGCCTCTGATCCAGGGCAACAGACTCTTTCCACAGGGGCTCCCCAGCTATATCCACCTCAACTAAGGACAACACTTCTTCCCCTAAAAGATCAAGGAACAGAGCCACAACTTCACCACAGAGAGAGCCAAATAAAAAGAAACTGTCTCCTGCTAGGTCACTATCTTTGATGCCCACCACTCCACGGGCGAGTCCTTTTGAGGCATAGTGCACCTCTGGCAAAGTCCGCACTGGGACCTCTGTCTAGCCCCATCGGAAGGACAAGGAGTCAAGGCATGTATCTAAGACTGCCTTCCCCTCTAAAGCACCGACCATACTGTTAAGAGACACGGCACCGAGGCCCTCACCAGTGACTATGCCTCCACCACTGGTGCCGGCGACCCCATTGGCACCGACGGACAGAGCCAAGATGACATCATCCATACTGAACAAGTTGGGACCACAAGTCATCGGCACTGTCCCCGGTACCATCTAAAACAATGACATCAGTACTGACGGTGCCAAAATCAACGGCACCACACCAATTAATACAAAAAAAAGACCTTGTGGTCTCTTCAATAGTGCAGTCACCACTCTTCAGCATCGATGGCTCACCTGAGCATACAGCATCAGACCATCCTCACCCCCCCTCACCCCTCATTATCAAGTGATGATGAGATGAACAGGAAAAGCATGCCTTCTCTTTACCCACAGAACACAGACCACCCTGCGGACGCATTAAATCAAAGGCTCCCTATGGACAAGACATGCAACCTTGGTATGGTCAACCATGGATGTGCCCACCTATGCCCTTTCCTATGCAATGGCCAGCCTGAGACCCATAGGCAGCATACAGGGCTCATTACAACAGACCTTTGACCCCACCCAGAGGTAAAATAAGATCACTATCCTTCATACTGGAGACCTCGGAAGCCCAGGAGGAAACGGGATGAGAGGGAAGAGGGCACCGAGCAGGACATAGCAGCACCTGTGCATAACTCTTCTTGGTCCCCACAGAAAGCCATAATGCTGCCACCTCCCACCACAGCTGATGATTTCAAACAGTTCCATGAACTGTTCAGAAGGGTAGCACTGAGTCAGGAGATCCCATTCAAGGAGGTGCAGGACACCCAGCACAAACTCCTCCAGATTCTCCAGACATCGTCTGACTTCTAAAATAGCGTTGCCCATAAATAACATCAGGGAACAGGCGGAAACCATTTGGCAAACACCAGCTACTGACCCACCAAAATGTAAGAAGCTAGATAGGAAGTATTACGTGCCCGCCAAGGGTATGGACTTCCTTTTTTTTCTCACCCCCTACCCAATTCTCTAGTAGTAGAGGCCATAAACCAATGCGGCAAACCGCAGTACAGGTCCACTCCACAGGACAAGGAGGGCAAGATATTCAACCTCTTTGGATGAAAGATCTATTCTTCGGCAACGCTACAATTCAGAGTTGCAAATTACAGCGCACTCCTGGCCAAATATGACTATGATAATTATGGCAAACTGAATGAATTTATTAATGACCTCCCAGAGGAGAGGCATGCACAGTTCAAAGCCAAACTAACAGAAGGACAGTTGGTCACCAGAACGGCACTACAGGTGTCCCTTGACGTGGCAGACACGGCGACGAGAACAACAGCCGTAGTAATGCACAGAGCATCATAGCTGCAATTCTCAGGAATTCTGAAAAATCGCCAAGTAAAAGGGGAAGATCTCCCATTCGAAAGAGGAAAAACTTTTCTCTGACAAAACCGATGAGATCCTCCACTCAATGAAAGCTTCCCAGGTGACTCTCCATACTCTCAGGATGTATCACCTGCAATGATAGGAAGACGTTACCGGGCATACCAATGCAGCAGAGACACCTTGTTCCAGCATCAGCAGCAACGACATTACGAACCCAAAAGGCACAGGCAAAGACCACAGAGACATAAAGCATCTCAAACCCAATCCTTGACATCACAAGTGACATCAACCAGATTTTCAAAATTATTGCTTGGTTGAGGGTCTGAACGACCTCCCTCACCAGGTGGTGAAACTATCAACCAGGCCTTTGGCCACCGCTTACATCCTTTTTACCATGTCTGGGTGTCAATCACTATGGACCAATGAGTTTTAGAGATCGCTTTTACCTTAGATGGAAGGTGTTATAGAAGTCTCGTGTTGTAATATCTAGGTACAAAATACGTTTCTTGTTTTGATTTTTATCCCAATATTAATGTGTGTAAGTTTTTTTTGTTTATGGCAATATAGCAATATACAATTGTCAAGAGAAATGTTATGTACGAAAGATTGTTATAATAGAAAAGTTTTATGAAGGACATTGTTAATATCTGACGCACCCACAGGGGTGCTGGAACTAGGGGTGTTGATGGTGTAGCAGCACCCTCTGGCTTGAAGTAATAATAGCAGCCAAATACATGGTTTCTGCTTTCAGCAGTCCCACTATAAAAATTTGTTCCAGCATCTCTGCCCACCCATATCTATATCGATTAGATTAATGAGAATGCAATGCAGTATTAATAGTTCTTGTATCTTCAGTGCTTGCTTTGGGGTTGTGTGGGGTGAGTATAAGGAGAGTTGCATTTTAAATGGAGATGGGCCAAGAATACAAAATCAGGCCTAGGCTTTCAGTTATTAAATGACAGAATCTTATGATCTGCCCTTGTGAGGTTTTTGACTTGGAATGGTGTATCTTCTGCCAAGATCAGGTGTTCTTATGCGGCTTCTACTATCTTGGACTGAAATATTGTAAAAATGCCTGTTCTCGTGACATCTTTGCTGTCTCCAGACCAGAACCAGAAAATAGCCTCCTCCTAGTTTATCATTAATTCTGTCAACGAAGGTTTTAAAGGATCTAGGAATATGAATCCAATCCTTTTTCTTCACAAAATTGAATGTCTTTCTAAAATTATGCTCTAGCTCAACCACAGGATAAAGGCTTGATTTAGGAATTGCTGGGTGCTGTTCTATGGCCTGCACTATGCAGAAGATCAGATGATCATAATGGACCTTTCTGCCCTTAAAATCAGTGAAAATGTACAGTAGTGCCCAGAGGCCCCAATCAGGATAGGAGCTCAATTAGGTTCCATATAAATACGTACAAAGGTTTGTCCCAAAGAGCTAAGACTAAGGTTATGATTTTGTCATGGTTATTTTTAGTAAAAGTCACTGGCAATAAATAAAAATTCACAGGAGCCCGTGACCTGTCTGTGACTTTACTAAAAGTAACCAGGAGACAGGGCTGGCGGAGGGTGGGGTAGGTAAGGAAAAAGAATGACAGCTGGAGCCCCAATGGGGGTACGGACTGACAGCACCAGCTCCACTGCCATGGGTGGGGGGCACGCACAACCCTGACTCCAGCTCCAGCCACAGCTGCGGGGCAGGGGCACCCAGCCGCAGCTCTGGTCCTGGCAGTGGCACACAGCCCCAGCTCCGGCCCCGGCCCTGGCAGCAGCCAAAGTGCACAGCCCCGGTTCCGGCCTCAGCCAAAGCCATGGGGCAGGAGTACACAGCCCCAGCAGGGAGAGAGGAGTGGACAACAACGGATGGCTCCGGCCATGGGAGGGTGGCAGCGATGTATGGCCCAGGCCGCAGGCTGGGGGGTAGGGGTTTGTGCACGACTCTAGCTCAAGCCCTAGCCAAAGGGGTAGGGGATACACAGCCCCAGCTGAAGGCGCACAGTCCCGGCTCCAGCCTCAGCTATGGGGCAGGGCACACAGCCCTGGCCAAAGCCATAGTTCCGGCTTCAGTCTCTGACAGCTGAAGCCAAAGAAGTCATGGAGGTCTGGTAAAGTCATGGAATCTGTGACTGCCATGACCTCTGTGACTAACTAGTATCCTTAGCTATGACCTTCCTCTGTTCATGATATGAAAGCCCTTCAACAAAATGAAAATGGAGAATATTCTTCAAACTATCTGAAATGTTTTCTCAATGGAAAAACTCCACTTGAGACTGTTTTTAATATCTAGAAAATAGAATACATCTGGAAAACAATGAGTAATTAGTCATCTTAATGGTCATATACTACAGTGATATGCAAGAGTGTGGGAAAAATTTGGCAACAACCAAAGCAATCCTGATGACTAGACACATTACAGAAGGAAAATGTGTAAGGTTCAGAGCCTTAAATTGCCATAGCTCAATTAACTTAAGTGTTTTGTTTGCGAGAGTGATGGCTGCCTAAAAAATGAATATAATTGCATTGTCAATTAAATAACTGATTCGCTTTGCTATTGCGCACAGAAATTTTGGCAACATTTTTTGCATTGTGTAGAATCCGTTTTAAAAAAGATTATTTTTGTAACTGACATCTTTTACTCTTTTCTAGAATATGTGTTCTCACTTGTGATGATTTGACATTATAAACCCTTCATTAACCATGATGGCAACACAGACATTAAGTATAGACAACTATCAAGATGGACAACAAGTGAGAGCATTTTTCTCCTTTATGTATTGCATTACTATTAGCAAGTGAAAAATTACCTTTTTGTTTTAGGTTAGACTCTATATGTGATGTGATATGATGTTGCATCTTTGAGCAGTGGTTCCTAAAAAGTCATTCCATTGATCCGCACTCTGAAGACCTGTTCTCCGTTATTGCTGTATGCCAGTAGATGGAGACAGTGTTAACTGTCAGAAGAAAAACTGAGTTGTTGCTTCCCCTACAAAGAGGCCTGGTTAGCTGAACAGTCAGTTACCTTTTATTTCCAAAGAGGCAATTCTCTAGATTGCTATCTTCTGTTTGGAGTACCTCCTGCTTTTATTTTGGAGAGCCTTTTTTCCATAAACCCTTTTCTTTGATTGGTTTACTTAGTTTAGAATACTTATGTGTCTTGGTAAAGAGCTGGTTGCAGGGTGGATAAAAATCAATATTTTTATTGAAATTTTATTTAAATTGGATTTTTTTGATAGTTTTTTCCCCCTCAAAAAGCATTTATCTAAGATAGTTTTAATTAACACACATTATAGCTCAAAGATATCTCATCGTGGAATAGGGATTATAAATTCTAATTCTGTAGTATGAGACAATATATTCATGTAATGTTTAAGAAAAGTTTTGTAAATGAGTTCCAATAGTTCATGGATTAGAGACCCAATCCTATGGGGTTCCAGGGACTTTTGTATAGATTATTTAGGTTAATCTTTCTGTCTACCCAATGGGACTCAGTGCTCAGTTTAGAGGATACCATCAGTAATGCTTAGTTTTGCAGTTCTCAAACAGTGGATTTGTGTCTCCACTCCAGAGATAACATGCTTGTTAACAGCAAAAATGTTTTTAAATAAATACATAATATATAGAAGTGAGAAATAAGACATCAACCCTATTGTCCCTCTGCAAATTTGTGTACACAGAGTCAATCCCTTACATCTCTCTAAAAGTGCAAAGTTTCAAAAAGTTCAATGAATAGAAGATAGTTGGGGGCAGAATAGATCTGGACAAGGAGAAGAAGTCTGGAGATAAATGTGAGACGGGAGGGACAGGCAGTAGAAACAAAAGTGAAACTGTTTGAGCAGCATATTCCAGAAGTCTTGAGGTCTTTCTGAGTGTAGCCTTCATTGATTTGAGATCTGCCATACCATTCTCTCACTAGAAGGGAAAACCTATAATGGCAGCACGCCATAAAAGAGATCCAGTTTGGGAATATTTTAATGAAGTTCCTTTACCTGTGGGTAAGACAGGCATGCGTGCAAAATGCAAACAGTGCAACAAAGAAATGCAAGGCCCGGTTGCCTGAATTGAAGATGATGAAAGGAACATGTCTGAACATGCAGGATCTTCAGGTTGGTAAACTTTTTTTATTTCATACTTCTTTCTTAAGGACTGCCTATCTTCCTTCTGGACTATTCCTGAATTCTCATGTTCGAGCAAAAAATATAGTTGTTACTCTCTGCTATTATCATTTTAGATGCAGTTGTGATCAAATAAATAGCTGAAATAGGCTGATCTTCCTTTTACAATTTCACCTTAAAAGTAGTACTTAGTGTCAGTGAATGCAATGAATAATACACCTCTACCTCGATATAATGCTGTCCTCGGGAGCCAAAAAATCTTACCGCATTATAGGCGAAACCGCGTTATATTGACCTTGCTTTGATCTACTGGAGTGCGCAGCCTCCCTCCCTCTACCTCCCCCCCAGCCCCCCCCCTCCCCCCGGAGCACTGCTTTACCGCGTTGTATCTGAATTCGTGTTATATCAGGTAGCGTTATATTGAGGTAAAGATGTACTAAATGAGCAGTATGGTGGTAATAATTAAATAATGGCATTGACTTATTTTGTTTAGGCGACTCCATCCTCAACATACAGGATTCTGAAGACTACTCACCTTCAAGGTCACCATCATTTTCTATAGTTTCAGAGTTATCTGCCAATGATAGTGAGTCACATCATGTATGTCACATAGCCACAGTATGTCACCTGTAGCAAAAAGAAAAAAAAATCTCCATTATCCAGAAACAACCATAGATAAGTTTGTGATAAGAACCAGCAGATTACAAAAAGACGTAATTGATGAAAAAATTGCCCGGTTTGTTTATGCAACAAACTCTCTCCTTTCCATATGATTGAGAACCGACACTTCCTTAACATGGTTCAGTCCTTAAAATCAGGATACAGTCCACCCAACAGAGCAGATGTCGCAGGCAAATTGTTGGATAAAAAGTGTATGAAAGAGAAATTGAGCAGTGTGCAAAATGTCTAGAGGGTAAAATTGTTAATCTGAGTCTTGATGGGTGGAGCAATGTCCACAATTATCCTGGTGTATGTGCTTGTGTGACAACAGAAGAAGGGTATGTCTTCCTTACCGAAACAATTGATACATCAGGAAATGCACACACAGTAAAAGCTATAACAAACTGAAAAAAAATTCAAATGTCTAGTATGCAGCTTGGTCACAGACAATGCTGCAAATGTATCCAAGATGAGAAGAAATTATTTAGAAGAGAGTGAAGAGAGTCCCAAGCTAATAACATACGGTTGAAGTGCTCATTTGATGCACCTCCTAGCCAAAGACTTCAGTGTTCCAGAAATAAAGCCTAATGTTGTTGAAATTGCAAAATACTTCTGTAACAGCCACTTTGCAGCAGCTGCTCTGAAAAACATGAGAGGAACCACACTAACTCTCCCACAAGACGTGCGATGGAACTCAGTAGTGGACTGTTTTGAGCACTATATCAAGAACTGGCCTAATCTGATGACAGTTTGAGAATAAAATTGGGAAAAAATAGTTCTCAACATTGGGCTTAAGAGAAATGTTGAACATATGCTGAGTACCCTGAAGTCTATTTCTGTAGCCTTGAACAAAATGCAGGGAAATAGCTGTTTTATTGCTGACGCTGTTGAAATTTGGAAGGAACTGAGTGAGATCTTAAAAAGAAAAATATGCACTAACAGAGTTAAATTACAAGCATTAAAAAATGAATGGGACAAGCACTATTTACAGCTCATTTTCTTACAAATATTCTCAATAGTCAGTACCAGGATCAAATCTTAACTGCTGAAGAAGAGGAGTTGGCTATGACGTGGACATCCAGCAATCATCCCTCCATAATGCCAACTATAAAAGCCTTCAGACAGGGCCGGCTCCAGGCACCTGTGAAGGAAGTAGGTGCTTGGGGCGGCCAATGGAAAGGGGCAGCATGTCCGGGTCTTCGGCGGCGGGTCCCTCAGTCCCTCTCTTCCTCTTTGAGCTGGTGACGAAGTGCCAATTGGCCTTACCCCCCCGCTTTTTTTTTTTTGCTTGGCCGCTTGGGGCGGCAAAAAAGCTGGAGTCGGCTCTGCCTTCAGAGCTAAGGGTGAACCATTCAAGAAATATGTTTGCTGCTGATGTTTTAAAGAAAGTCACACCAGTGAACTGGTGGAAGTC